GCTATCATTTGACATCATCATTCAAGATACAGTAAAGGTCTAACCATTTGCAGATATTTTTAGAGCAAGTAAAGAGAGCTACTTCTACTCAGATATTTTAAGACTGTGAGCATTGGTATAGTGGCTGCARCTTGGATCCATGTCATTCCACCTGCACAACAGGCCTGCTGGTACCCAACCATTTTAGCTAGTCAACATCACCATTTCTACCACTATCACTCCAACTGTCTTCATCACCATCTCCATCGTCATCTTCAATACAGTACTTCTTCTGTTTGATGTACAATTATTCATCATCGTAGTCCCACAGAGCATTATAGATCTGCTAGGAAGAATGATGTAAAATGTTTTCTTTTCTTGCAAGGTMATGATAAATTGTATACCTGTTTTAGGAGTTCTGTCTTGATTCTCCTGGTGTGTTCCTCCTCTCTGGCAGATCTTTTCCTGCAGACACTGTCAATCTCATCTATGAAAATAACCTTCAAAAATCTTTTCAGTTACATAACACTGCATAAATTTATATATACCATACACAGGCTTTTGAATATTAAACTAACAAATTTGGATGAGAAGCTGGCTGGTTTCACCAAATGTGTTGCAAGCCTATTTAAAAGCAAAAAGGTGCCTGTGCATAGAAGTATCTGAAAACATAAAGTGTGGTCATACTTTTGCATGCCACTCTGCGAAACCGGTCTAGAAAGTTAACGAAAGCTTCCTATTTCATTGCTACCATGAACAACCTCAAACAGCCTGTGGGTATGAGTGACATCAGTAGTAGAGGGACAGCAGGGTAAAAGTTTTGAAAGGACCTTAATATATCATTAGAAATATATTTTTCTTACTGATCTTCCTTGTCTCTCTCTAGCATCGTGAAAGAGCTCTTTGATTAACCTAAAAAGAAAGACACTTGTAGTTAGTCTGATGCTCAACTAACTAAGTTAACCCCATTGGTCAATTATAAATGACAGGTCTAAGTGTGGGACATATCCACAAAGTTCTGGAATAGACCTGTTTACCTTGGGCTTAATGCTTTTCCATGTCAGACCAAAAGTCATTATCTTGCCAACAAGTTTCTTTGAATTTGTTTGAGTTGTATCCATATTCATGTACAATGTTATACAAAGAAATAAAACTCTAGAGAATGACATGTGGTCTGAAAAGGGAAATCAATCATTATGCCCAAGGTAACAAGGTCTATTAAAGTGAGAGATGGCAGCTCACACCCATGTATCCCAAAATTAAATAATTATTGAACATGACRGTAGTCAAGCCTTACTTTTCGCTTTCACCAAACCAGCTTGAAATGAGGTCAGAACTTGACACACTGTAAAACGTTGAGTTCACTTCTGATGCAACAGCTGTCATGATAAAAAGAATAAACCATATTTTTTTAGGAGTATGAGCCAAATACCCTTAAAATATGTATAGGAACCTGGGATAATAAATTCCACAAATCAAAATAGTCGTCCTTTGGGCATATTTTTCCATTTCAGATCATGTGTAATTTCCCTGAGTTAAAAATTATTTGCTTAAGACTTGTATCCATTTTTATTTGTYCTTCCCATTAAGTAAAGAAATGATACTCWAGCGAATGACATGTGGTCTGAAATGGGAAAACATTACACCCAAGGTAAATAGGTCTATTTCAACATTAAGAAAAGTATATTTGCATGTTCATGATTGGAAGAAGCGTAGAGTGCCWGGAAGATCACATCTAACCTTGAGCCAGTCTTGTCTTCCCTGTTAAAAATGAAAATTGAATTTCTAGTCATGTACATGAAGAGCCRAAATTTAGTTTTTCCTAATTATTTTCCTTCTATTCTTTTCCATTCCAGTATTTTCTTTCTATTTTCAATTCCTTTTGATTCCACTCTGTGGTATACATCAGGTGAGGCATAAAATTTTTTTTTTTTTTCCTATGTAATAATTTTACTTTTCCCACTTTTATTCTTTTCCATCCTCTATTTTTTCTGTTGTTCGGTTTAAGTTTCTTTTTTTAATTAATTAGTTTTAATGTTAATTAATATTATTAATTATTTCCTTCCCATATTTTTTTCCTTTTTCTGATTAGTTGCTTTGTTATGTAATGATTTTCTTTTCCCAGTTTCATTCTGTTGAATGCAATAATTTCTTTTCTATTTACTTTTTTTTATTTTGCCTTTGATATATTTTAACTTAATTTTCCCCTCATTTTTATTCTGTTCAATCAATCCTTTTTTTTTTTCTTCTTTTTTTAAATCTTTGATACTGCTATGAATTACACTTAACATACCTGTACCAGGTGGGCCATAAAGCAGGATTCTTCTCCATGGTTTCCTCCCACCTACAACAGATCAAGTTGACATGTTTGAAAGGGGTCAGATTGCTTGCCTCTCACAAAGGTGACCCGGGTTCAATTCGTATGAGTTCCTTGCTAGTTCTCTTCTTTGCTTCAATGGGTTTTCTATTTCCTTCTCTCTCGCTCTCTCTCTCTCTTTCCCTCTTATTTTCTTTCTTTCTTTTTCTTTTCTTTTTTTTTTTCCTCCCTTTCCAAAAATGTACTTTTTTTTCTCCAAAAAAATTTTCGAAAAATTTACTTCTGAATTCCATTTGAAGTTCAGTGGTAGAAGAAAAGCTGTGCATCCCACTGCCATTTTTTACATAGCCTCATTTGCTCAGTTCAATTGTCACTTTGCATGTCATTATTTAGAGCTACTTTGAAGTGAATGATGACTAATGGTACAAAATTATTTATCCCCAAATGGTATACCCATGGCCACCAGCTAAATCAATAAAATCAGGTCCCTACTTTGGACAATGTTTAGGTGTTCAGCGTGTGATATCTGGCATAATRTAATTTATACAGCACCTGTAGCTGACATCATAATACCAAAAATAACAATACCAGCTTTACAATCTATAGAAAGAGTAACCGATAATARATATAACCAAAGACTGAGCAGCATAAATTATATTACACTGGAGAAAGCCTTTCTGTTATTTTGCAATCAAGTTGCAAGTTATAAGAAATGAGTTTTGTGTACCTGTAAATAGATGTGGGTATTGCAGAGGCAGAATGATTGCTTCTCGTAAAGTCTCTTTAGCTACTGCAAGGCCAGCCACATCAGAAAAACTGATACCATCTCTTGCTACAATAGTATCTTCTATAGCAATCCTACGACTAAGTAACATCATTATTATGGTCATTAGTACTGGTGTTCACTTGATTTTGGTTAAAAACAAATATCAATACCTCCCCCTTAGAGCGAATGAGAATTTCCAAGGGGTGAGGAGGGTCTGAGAAGAGTAAATATTGTGTAATGTAACAGACAATATTCATACATCCCTTAGGGTCCTGCTTCAGCAGAGGAGAGAGCTAGGTGCATGCATATTGTAATTTTCAGAAATACAATTTTTGAAAATTGAAGGTTATGATTAAATCTACCTGTTCGTATTAGGTGCTGCTTTTTCATCATTGCCTGATGATCCTATWGTTGGGATATAAATGATAATGTGTAGGTTTTATTATATCTTTAACATTTTTCAAAGTATCAGTTCAGGTTAATTATAAAAGCTAAATAGAATTGCAAACTTCTATGGAAAAAAAAACAGACAAAAAAAAGATTATATTTTACAAATGTCACATTTACAGCCATTTTTTGGCCAGCTTACTGTCCTTTCTGGTGTTTCTTTTGAAAGTGTCTAATAGATACTATTGGACTATTCATGTTGGTCTTTAGAAAAACCATTCATGATTTATGGGTTGTCAGGAAGAAAACTGTGGTTCTTTGTTTTAAAGCAATGCCCACCACTGTACCAGGATTAGAGAATTGCTGACCTCTCTCAAGATTCCACATAGCCCCATGCACCAACCAAGACCCCTGAGGTGAGTGCACTACCCACATGCCACCCTTGATTATATRCTCACAGTATAACTCTCTATGTTCTTTATGGTTGCTAAACCCCTACCTTTTTCTTGTGATGTTGGAATCAACCCAGCTTGATTCAACTGTGACTGTTTTGCCAGTACAATRTTAAGGTTATGGGCTTGACTCAGAGACAGCTGCTCTAGTGCATTCTGTTTGTTAAATTATCATTGAATCCATGATAAACTACATATAATACTTTTTTCTTTTTTAGTTCATGTGTTTATTTCTGGTTTGTTTGTGTGTTTACTTTTTTTTTTTTTTTTTTTTTTTTTTTTTTTTTTTTTTTTTTGCTTTTTTCGTTTTCTCATTTGATTATTTGTTTATTTACTTGTTTGCTTTTTTGTTGGTGGTTTGTTTGCTTATTTGTTGTGTGTGAGCCTTTTTATGCTTATTTGTTTGTTTGTTTGGTAAATGAGATAAAAACATTTCTTCCTATATAAAGATATATTTTTCACTACCTTTATTACTGGTCTTTGTTCCAATGCATTCAAACTATCAACGTACTCTGCACTCTTTTGGTATTCACCAATCAACAACTCTAGATCAACATTTTCTGTTTTCTTGCACTCAACTGCTGCTGCTTCAAGGCTGTATTTTTTAAAAAATTTGTTCATAAATTGATAGAATTCATAGCTTAAATATCCCGAGGTAGCAAATCTTGTTCTCAAAGGATTCGAGTTTTCTTTTTATAAGCATTTTAGAAAGAGGATAGTTTACAAGATATAAAGCTTGCAT